TCCGCGCGGAGATATAATGTTCCAAAACGACATAGCTCCACGAGGAGATATGACGTTCCAAAACGAGACAGCTCCGCGCGGAGATATGACGTTCCAAAACGAAATAGCTCCGCGCGGAGATATGACGTTCCAAAACGACACAGCTCTACGCGGAGATATGACGTTCCAAAACGACATAGCTCCGCGCGGAGATATGACGTTCCAAAACGACATAGCTCCACGAGGAGATATGGCGTTCCAAAACGACATAGCTCCGCGCGGAGATAAGAAGTTCCGAAACGAGGAGATATGACATTCCAAAACGACACAGCTCCACGCTGAGATATGACGTTCCAAAACGACACAGCTCCACGCAGAGATAAGACGTTCCAAAACGGCATAGCTCCACGAGGAGATATGACGTTCCAAAACGACATAGCTCCACGAGGAGATATGACGTTCCGAAACGACATAGCTCCGCGCGGAGATAGGACGTTCCGAAACGAGGAGATATGACGTTCCAAAACGACATAGCTCCACGAGGAGATATGACGTTCCAAAACGACACAGCTCCGCGCGGAGATATGACGTTCCAAAACGACACAGCTCCACGCTGAGATATGACGTTCCAAAACGACATAGTTCCGCGCGGAATTATGACGTTCCAAAACGACATAGCTCCGCGCGGAGATATGACGTTCCAAAACGACATAGCTCCGCGCGGAGATAGGACGTTCCAAAACGACATAGCTCCACGAGGAGATATGACGTTCCAAAACGACATAACTCCACGAGGAGATATGACGTTCCAAAACGACATAGCTCCACGAGGAGATATGACGTTCCAAAACGACATAACTCCGCGCGGAGATATGACGATCCAGAACGACATAGCTCCGCGCGGAGATATGACGTTCAAAAACGACATAGCTCCGCGCGGAGATAGGACGTTCAAAAACGACATAGCTCCGCGCGGAGATAGGACGTTCCGAAACGACATAGCTCCGCGCGGAGATATGACGATCCAAAACGACATAGCTCCGCGCGGAGATATGACGTTCCAAAACGACATAGCTCCGCGCGGAGATATGACGTTCCAAAACGACATAGCTGCGCGCGGAGATATGACGTTCCAAAACGACATAGCTCGGACTGGAGATATGACGTTTCAAAACGACATAGCTCCGCGTGGAGCTATGACGTTCCAAAACGACATAGCTCCGCGTGGAGCCATGACGTTCAAAAACTACATAGCTCCACGAGGAGATATGACGTTCCAAAACCACATAGCTCCACGAGGAGATATGACGTTCCAAAACGACATAGCTCCACGAGGAGATATGACGTTCAAAAACGACATAGCTCCACGAGGAGATATGACGTTCCAAAACGACATAGCTCCACGAGGAGATATGACGTTCCAAAACGACATAGCTCCACGCGGAGATAGGACGTTCCGAAACGAGGAGATATGACGTACCAAAACGACACAGCGCCACGCTGAGATATGACGTTCCAAAACGACATAGCTCCGCGGGGAGATATGACGTTCCAAAACGACATAGCTCCGCGCGGAGATATGACGTTCCAAAACGACATAGCTCCGCGCGGAGATATGACGTTCCAAAACGACATAGCTCCGCGCGGAGATATGACGTTCAAAAACGACATAGCTCCGCGCGGAGATATGACGTACCAAAACGACATAGCTCCGCGCGGAGATATGACGATCCAAAACGACATAGCTCCGCGCGGAGATATGACGTTCCAAAAAGACATAGCTCCACGAGGGGATATGACGTTCCAAAACGACATAGCTCCACGAGGAGATATGACGTACCAAAACGACATAGCTCCGCGCGGAGATATAACGTTCCGAAACGATATAGCTCCGCGCGGAGATAGGACGTTCCGAAACGAGGAGATATGACGTTCCAAAGAGACATAGCTCCACGACTAGATATGACGTTCCAAAACGACATAGCTCCACGAGGAGATATGACGTTCCAAAACGACATAGCTCCACGAGGAGATATGACGTTCCAAAACGACATAGCTCCACGAGGAGATATGACGTTCCAAAACGACATAGCTCCATGCGGAGCTATAACGTTCAAAAACGACATAGCTCCATGCGGAGCTATAACGTTCAAAAACGACATAGCTCCACGAGGAGATATGACGTTCCAAAACGACATAGCTCCACGAGGAGATATGACGTTCCAAAACGATACAGTTCCACGCAGAGATATGACGTTCCAAAACGACATAGCTCCGCGCGGAGATATGACGTTCCAAAACGACACAGCTCCATGCGGAGCTATAACGTTCAAAAACGACATAGCTCCACGAGGAGATATGACGTTCCAAAACGACATAGCTCCACGAGGAGATATGACGTTCAAAAACGACATAGCTCCACGAGGAGATATGACGTTCCAAAACGACATAGCTCCACGAGGAGATATGACGTTCAAAAACGACATAGCTCCACGAGGAGATATGACGTTCAAAAACGACATAGCTCCACGAGGAGATATGACGTTCAAAAACGACATAGCTCCACGAGGAGATATGACGTTCAAAAACGACATAGCTCGGACAGGAGATATGACGTTCCAAAACGACATAGCTCCACGAGGAGATATGACGTTCAAAAACGACATAGCTCCACTAGGAGATATGACGTTCCAAAACGACATAGCTCCACGAGGAGATATGACGTTCCAAAACGACATAGCTCCGCGCGGAGATATGACGTTCCAAAACGACATAGCTCCACGCGGAGCTATGACGTTCAAAAACGACATAGCTCCACGAGGAGATATGACGTACCAAAACCACATAGCTCCACGAGGAGATATGACGTTCCAAAACGACATAGCTCCACGAGGAGATATGACGTTCCAAAACGACATAGCTCGGACAGGAGATATGACGTTCCAAAACGACATAGCTCTACGAGGAGATATGACGTTTCAAAACGACACAGCTCCACGCGGAGATATGACGTTCAAAAACGACATAGCTCCACGCGGAGCTATGACGTTCAAAAACGACATAGCTCCGCGCGGAGATATGACGTTCCAAAACGACATAGCTCCGCGCGGAGATATGACGTTCCAAAACGACATAGCTCCGCGCGGAGATATGACGTTCCAAAACGACATAGCTCGGACAGGAGATATGACGTTCCAAAACGACATAGCTCTACGAGGAGATATGACGTTTCAAAACGACACAGCTCCACGCGGAGATATGACGTTCAAAAACGACATAGCTCCACGCGGAGCTATGACGTTCAAAAACGACATAGCTCCACGAGGAGATATGACGTTCCAAAACGACATAGCTCCACGAGGAGATATGACGTTCAAAAACGACATAGCTCCGCGCGGAGATATGACGTTCCAAAACGACATAGCTCCGCGCGGAGATATGACGTTCAAAAACGACATAGCTCCGCGCGGAGATATGACGTTCCAAAACGACATAGCTCCGCGCGGAGATATAACGTTCCGAAACGATATAGCTCCGCGCGGAGATATGACGTTCAAAAACGACATAGCTCCACGCGGAGATATCACGTTCCAAAACGACATAGCTCCACGAGGAGATATGACGTTCCTAAACGACATAGCTCCACGAGAAGATATGACGTTCCAAAACGACATGGCTAGATCGACTCGGCTATTGATGCTGATCAAGATTATATATACTTTATGGGGTCGGAGATGCTTCCCTCTGCCTGTTACATACAGTTGGATTTTGCACAGATACAATATACCCTTATACCCATTTTTAATGGGTTCAGGGTATAAATATAAAATTGCCATGGATTTTTATTAGAATGTTTTTGACTAGAAAATCTTTGCCCTGATAATAAAGATCTTATCGTATCGATACTGCCTTATTCTACCAGTTATAAATGTATATGTATATACAAAACTGCATTGTTGATGGATTCAGTGACTTGCATAGGTAATTTGGATATCTTTGCAATGATGTGTATCCTGACTTTAGAGCTCAAAGGCAATTGCCGAAAAAACCACAAGATTTACCGTGTAATCTTGGAAAGTCTACAGCAGAGCGGGCAAAATATTTGCAGACAGTGAAAGGATTTAAATGTGAAATCCCATATATCCAATTTACAGAAAGCTGCATATCGGGCATTGCCTTTCAGTGGGAACGGTAACGGGTTAGGGATTTTATGCTGCCATATAATGAAATTTCAATTGAAGGTGACCATTTGTAGCCGAGTAGCATGTACTACCTGATCTATCTTTCTTTAGCTGTTACTGCTGATACACAGCCAAGAGGGGTGACGGCTGATGCAGAGCCTTGCTTGCGGATTACCTCAGATTCTTTAATCCTTTGACTTTTCCTGCTAAGCGATCATAAAACGTGGGTTATGCATTTATGGCCCCAGCTCCCACCCATCTCCAGTACCCTTCGCTTTTCCCGTTCGGAAACCTTTCCAACTTGGTTGGGTGCGGTTTAATCCGAGACCACCAAAGAGATCATGACGCACTTATTTAATCTGCTCAGTAGGGTGCAAATTGTTTCTTGAGCGAATAGTTGAGCATCACGCTGACTGCTTACTAAGTAGGTAAGCAGATAATCGTTGCTACTTTTACTGGGTGGGATTAGCATGTCATTTTGAAGAACATCATCCGAGTGCACCAACAAGAAGCTTTGTTGGTTTGCTTGGCTGTTATTGGTAATCGTGGAAGTCAAAGGCAAAAGCCAAAGAAAAAACTTGCGCTACCTGTTAACAGGCTACCTGGTCCAAAAATCGTTTCAATACACCCAGCCCATGCTCAGACTTGCGCCCCTAGACTTGAGGGCTTGTTCTGCTAATCAGTTCATAGCTTGGTGGTTCGGGAAGGGAGTGATGGTCAAATCCGTAAAAAATTACCAGTCTAGAGATGAAGTGTTTATATGAAAACATCGTTGGAAGGTCAAATCTGAAAACATTTTGGAAAATCTGATATTTTTTTAAAATTTAATACACTAGTCGATTATGCGGAGAATGAGTAAATTTTCCTTTATTTTTGTATTTCTAAGCCAATAATTAAATACAGACAAATTCTGTAAGGTTACAGGGTATTGCTTAGTCGGGTACTCGCTGCCTGCTAGAGCCCTCTTAACAATTTGATTTATGTATTTTGTTGTAATTAATTTATTTCTTTTGAAAATGATTTGATTTTGATTTTAAGGCGAATAAAAAATTAAACATTGCAATGTAATGTAAATGGCATGCAGATCTTTTTCTTTTTTATTACGAATTTGTTCTTTGCTCTTATGAGTTGATTAATACGCCAGTGCAAGGACAAAGGAACACATTGATTGAATCTTCCGTTTCTTATTAAGTTACAAATTATGTTTTGAACCATCGTAGGATATATTTTATGAACAACGGGTTCTCCAAATCGCAAAAGTCTCAAGTCAGATCGATTTCTCCAGCAGCCACATGCGCCAACAAGGGTCCTGTCATCTTTTTGACCTGCAAGACAGACGAATTATTTAAAAATATATGTTATAATCATTGATTTTAGTCAGGGGTTCCCGACTAGGGGATACCATGAACCCTCTTCTACCAACACAAAAAAAAGTTCCTCCATTGAACTCGACCCCACAAATTACTAACGCCTACACTCGAAACTCATGCCAACAACTGATGTTCGATGCTGCAATGATGTTAATAGAATTTAATAACTTGCGGCAATAGCCATAAAATGAACATATTTGATATATATATATACTATTCACGAGGCTATATGTCAAATTTGGTGACTCAATCTCTTATAACTTACGAGATTTTCTCTAAAAAACAAAATAGATTTTGATTGAGGGAAATCGAGATATAAACTTTATGGGGTCGGAGATGCTTCCTGTTACATACAGTTGCACAAGCACATCATACCCTTTTTACCCATTTTCAGTGGCTTTAGTTTATAAAAAGATGGATTATATAAAATTTCAGTTTTCCGACATTCACGTATTCTTGTATTTTATTATCAAATTGTTCTGATTTTTTAAGTATATTATAGTAGACGCATTAAAGAAAATTTAACTTTGTGGATAACTGCTCCATAAAGTTTGAAAACAAAATATATGGCCAGAGCTTTATGATTTGATATATATACACACACTTGAATGCCATACTTGTGCACTTTGAATTGCCTGAAGATCGTATTAAAACGTGGCAATTATTCAACATGAATTGAATGCTGGTAGGATTGCAATCGTGTCATAACCCGTCTATTTAAATACCGAAAAGTGCGTGTAAGAACACATTTAAATATTTTTGAGAGAAACAAACGAAAGTCCAGTTAGCGGTATTCGGCCTGAAGAAGATCAAGTTCCTGTGTTGAGACATGGTCTGTGGCTTTTTAGATATTTTAAGAGTGAGATCGTAATTTCTGTGTTTGGTAAAGATATCTGGGATAGCAACAAATCGCTATGTACTAACAATCTGCAAGTTTACTTAAGATATCTTGAAAAAAAAACTGTGAATTTTATACAAAAAGCTAAATGTGGGCCGCTTTACCTGGCTTTATCGAATCGTTTGTTAAACATGAAGAAGAATCTATATATATATATATATATATATTTATGGTCGGAGATGTATGCGTTACACATTTCATGACAAGCTTATATTACCTTTTAAGGGTTTGGCTAGGACTAACGGCTTGCGTAGTCTGAGGTTAACAAAACATGAACTTCGACCGATTTGCACAAACAGCTTAAAAGAATGATTTGGGATTAATATACAAATACACATACATACACACATACATACATACAGTGTATATATGTATGGGTATGTGCTTGTGTTTTAAGGGCAGTAAGAGCACGAGCGATAAAGCAGCGGTGTTCTCCTCTGTGGTTGTTTGGGTAACGCCCCTTTAAATACAGTTATTTCATTGGGCCGCGACCACAAATTTATTAGTTTTTATTGTTATTGTATTGATATTTGAATTATGCCAGCCGCATTTTGACTTGTTCCTTGGGCTTTTATGCAGACACCTTTTTTTCACTTATGTAGATATTTTCTTGACCTCTTCAACTTTTGCAGATGAAAATGGGTAACGAGACTATAATGGCTTTGTGCAAAGCGAGAGACATAAAAGTCATATGTTTCAAACTTGTTATGATAGTTTAATATACTAAAGTATGTTACAGAGCAAGAATATTTCAGTTTTTGGTTCCATTTATTCGCATAGACGCACTTATGGAATCCATAAGTGAGAACTGAACTTTTCATAAGATTCGAATTCGCATGTTGTTTTATGTATAGAAGGAAGCTAAAGCGTTTGCAAGGACAGCTTGGCGCTGGGCTCAGGGTAAGTCCTTGTTGGGCACTCTTGTTTTTATTTATAAATTGTCACACGAAAGAGGAATTAGGAAAAGGAATGTTTCGGGTAACACTTGAAAAATATAAATGTTGAATATTGAATTAATTAATATCAATTAAAAAGTCGCTATTATACAAATAATCAGCTGAAAAGAACATGTGCGTGCATATACTTATTATTAGTTACTTATACTTTAATTATTTGAGCAAGTTCGATATAAGCATACGTGGATTGTGCATAATAGAATATATACTTATAAGTATATGCAAATTTAATTAAGTTGCAAAGAATACACATATCATACTTATGTATGCACATATATAGTATGTACATTTGAATGGTCTGCTTACCTACAAACTGATATGTATCATCATGGCCAAGAACCAGGGCGAAGTAGTATGAGCGGCTCAAGCAATAATACCTACGAGTAAGGCTTCGCCCAATTGCTTTGACACACAAACCCACACATAGAAATTATAACAAAACGCCTATAAGGCCAGCATAACTAACAACAATGCAATGTATATACACGAAGAGCGTGCGCGCGTATGCGAGCGAGCGAGACAAAGAGCGAACGTTGCCGCATTGAAGTCAGCGGAGAAGCAGGGCATCAACCACCGGCAAGGCGAAGGCGCATATTGCTGGGATAGAAGAGCACAGCACGAGTCGCTGCTGGCGTCGCTGTCGCAGTCTGCTGCCGTCATCACTGATTCGTTTTGTACGATGTTAGACTCTCTCGCTGCGTTTTGAATTCAGTCGACAACGATAATTACCGGTGGTTGTATCTCGAGCGCAGCGACTGAGGCCAGGAAGACCGAACTGACCAACAACCAACGAAACCCGCGCTCGCTTTTCTGCCTATCAACTATCAACAAAAAAGACGAACGCAAACGGCAACAACGAACAACAATTTCACCAATTGTGAAAAGCTTAGTGTGTACGAAATATAACGAAACAATATTCGAATTTCTTTTGTGCCGGGTTACTTGCCTGTCATTGTGCAAATTATTATTGACTATAGCGCCAACTTCGACGTCATCGCACTGTGCAATTATTCAAGTGAAAACAACACTAGCAGCAGCGTCAAATACACCAACAAGAATAAAAACTAAAACAGCAGCTATAATTATTTGAACGCATACGTGCTTAAAATATATAAAACAATACAAGTCAAGAGCGTGCCATAATTATATTAAGAGCAATAGAAACGAAGCATCAGCATAACAAAAATACAAAACAAATAAAAAAAAAAAACAAAAGTAGTTATCAAAAGCCAAAATAAAATCAATAAACGGCAATGTGCGAAAATTGCTAACGAAAAAAACAACATCAGCAGCATCAGCAGTCAGCAAAATCAGCAACACCAATTACGATAGCAGCCATTAAAATTGCCAACATGATTGACGCCACCTGCAATTATTTGAATCCCTATACACTGTCTCAATCAACAGCCGTACAGCAGCAACAGCAGCAGCATCAGCAGCATCTACAACAACAACAACAACAACAACATCAGCAACAACAACAGGAGCAACAGCAACCAGGTCATGATTTCATTAGCACCACATTGCTATCCGCCTCCGCCTCTGCCTCCGTCTCCGCCTCCGCGTCCACGTCCACGTCGAACCGTGACTCTAATGGCTCCTCCCCGTTGGCCTTCTACGGCAAACAAGCAAATGCATCAGCAACAGTTTCCGCATCCACCTCACATCAAGTGGTGCCGCCAATGAAATTGGAAATGCAATATCCGCCGCAGGCATCATCTACTGGTAGTGCATCGGCCAACTCCAGTATATCACAGTCAGCAGCTTCCTCGGCATCGGTGTCACCTAGCATATTCCCATCTCCGGCGCAGTCCTTTGCTTCAATATCCACTAGTCCGCCGGCCGCAGGTGGCTCCTCGTCGGCCACAGCTGCAGCAGTGGCAGCTGTAGCTGCCGCTGATTTGGGTGCCGCAGCGGTGGCAAGCGCCACAGCCTACAGCTGGAATACGGCTGCATACACAGCGCTGCCAACAAGGTAGGTTCTCTCTTTCCCAGCTACGTACGATTTATACCTATTTTTATACTATCTCCATTTGCCGATTCTGAAATGCCGATTATATTTGCAAAGATTAACGCGATCTAATTTGTTACCTCCGTTGTGTCTATTTTGATTGCAGAACTCAATTTCCGTATGCGCAATACGCAACTTATGGAAATGTGGCAACGGTTGGCGTTGCAGCGTCGGCATCTGCCGCCTGGTTCTCACACCAGGAGCGACTGTATCAGCCGTGGTCATCACAAAGCTATCCAAGCTTTAATTTTGACGATATCGCCTTTCAGACTCAGCTTCAGCGCCGGTCCGTACGTTGCACCTGCCCCAACTGCACCAACGAAATGAGCGGGCTGCCACCCATCGTCGGGCCCGACGAGCGCGGACGCAAGCAACACATATGCCACATTCCAGGCTGCGAGCGCCTTTACGGCAAGGCTTCACACCTTAAGACCCACCTGCGTTGGCACACTGGCGAACGACCGTTCCTATGCCTCACGTGCGGTAAGCGTTTTTCGCGTTCCGATGAGTTGCAACGCCATGGACGCACCCACACCAACTATCGGCCATATGCATGTCCCATCTGCTCCAAGAAGTTCTCGCGCAGTGATCATCTTAGTAAGCACAAGAAAACCCACTTCAAGGACAAGAAAGCGAAAAAAGCCCTAACCGCCGAGGCCAAGGAGCAGACGGGGGCCATCAAGCAGGAGAAGTCCGAAAAGGCTTTTAACAATAAAAAAGGGATTAAGAGCAAAACTGCGACAGTAACGATGCTCGGTAACAATATGCAATTCAAACAGGAGCAGCCGGAGGCAACAAACACTTTGGGCTATGCACCTTATGCGAATCTCAATCAGCAAACAGCGAAGACAGCGGCAACGGCCGTGGTGGTAACGACTCTGCCGCCGCCACCGCCTCTATTCCAGCCACAGCAGCAGAGTGAACCCTCGGCAGTCTCCAACAGTAGCAGTAGCACCGGCAGTTATGAACCCTGGTGCACCAGCACCAGCACCAGCACCAGCAGCAGCAGCAGCAGCAGCAACAACAGCAATAGCCACAGCAGCAATATTCGTGCCATGGAACAAAACCAAACTACCTCAGCGAATGCCAGACCCACATCGGAAGGCTCAGCAATGATTTCCAGCAGCATCAGCAGCAGCCAGGCCCAACACTATACAGCGCTCTCCATGCAGAGTGAGTCACAGCTGGCCTCGGAATATGGACTAACCATGTCCGGGCTGGCAAGCGGCGCCTGTGATAATAGTAGCAGCAGCTGTAATAATTTAAGTAGTGGATACTCTGGCCTTGTTGGTCCCATGAAGACTGATTATACCGGCAACTATCCGGCTGAATTTTCCAGTGGCTCTGGCTATGGTTATGCACATCATCACGTCGCTCACGCCCATGCCCACGCTCACAACCATCACCATCATTATCACAATGCGTGGACCGCCGCTTATCATCCACATGCAGCGGCTTAGACTTAGCATTAGTCCGGATTAGTACCTAAATAAATCCTTGTTGCTGTTGGATAATTATGAAAAAATTAAAATCGACAGGTTATTATTAGCTCTTGATTTTAATTATTTTTTTTTTTTTTTTTTACTGTGTGAAGTATTAAAATACAGCCATAATACTGCATATATATGCAGACTTAATACATATTGTATATCAATACCCTAAGAAAACATTCTAATCAATCCCGAAATGTAAGTTGATGTCCTCTTTATATATTTTTGACTCGTTAGTGACCTAATTGTTGTTGTTAAGAACATAATATACATATATAAATATCCAAAAAAAAAAAAAAAATTCAATAATACATGTAAGATGATTATTTCGAAATTTTTTTTCATAGGCTAAGCAATTTTTTTTTGCATGTATGTACATATTCATATATAAACGTATATTGTAAATTATTTTTTTTTTTTAACTTTCCTTAAGGCAAAGTAACGTAATAAAAAAATTTTGTTTTAATCTGGAATTTATTCTTGTGCTACAAACCAAAAATCAAGTATACCAAATCCCAATCCCTACACCAGAAGAAATGTTTGGGGGAGGTTTAAAACCCTTAAATATTTTGTGACTGTGCAAACTAAACAAGAGTCTGCGTACCAAATTTGCTGCCTCTAGCTCTTACAAGCTACAAGATATGCTTCCAAAGTAGTTGTTGATTGAAGTTGTTTCTTTTTTTCTATCTATCGAGGATTTGAAACAAAGTGGGCAGGCACTAGGAAGTCCCTAGCTCAAAGCTTCAGATTATTAGATTAGAAGGACAAATGGTAAGACAAACGGACATGGCTAGATCCAGTCGGCTGTTGTTACTTTTTAACCATTTTCAATAGGTTTAGACTAGAAATATTAATTACAAAGTGGTTACGCAGGTACATGGATGCATTTATACACAAACTCAATAACATACGAGAGAAATTAGCTCTAGCGGCTCTTGAGTTATGCTTAAATCACAAAGTCTCAAAATCGAGATATCGACATGTAACTTCCGAGATCGATGCGTTAGTGGGAACAAAGTAATTGTTATTGAAAACCCGTATACAAAAAGAAAATAGATTGGTGGAAAGCCAAATTTGTTCTATATTTATATACCATGTACTCTTTGTCTACTACCTATTAATATTTATCAATAATTTGCAATAGTATTGCAGGACTTTGCCAGCTTTACGTTCACAGTGTATTTAGAGCTGACAACAGTCGAGTAGGGTCTTCCTGACTGAGGAATCGTCGAATTGTTTAGAAAATTGGGGCTGTGCTTTGTGATTGTAGCTTGACAACTGTGGGGTTATACATTTTCACAGTTGGCACCCTTTGCACAGGTTGTCCAAGCCGAATATTATCGGCTTAAACGGACAACTAGCCAGATGAACGTATCATCAAAACTGTATATTTCTATAAGAGTTTGTATATTACGTTTAAAAATAAATCTCTTACAGGGAATATATCAGGTTTACATTTTTTTTCTGCGCTGAACATCAAGTTCCACTTGCATGTTCTCGGAATTTGCTGATAACTGACACCACCTATGATCCAATGACACCCTTAGAGGCTGTCAAGGTGTTCTTGAAAACATTGTCACACGTACTTAGCAAACAGAAGCAGTCATATATAGTCATATACATATACATATATACTTGGCATAGGGACTGGCCTTGTAAACCAAAGAACCACATTGGCTAGCGTGACACGTTTGTTCAAGTGGAGGGACTTAGAAATCCCTCTAATTTTAATCAAATTTATAAATAGTATAAATGTTATGCAACCACTTGACAGTTGGCTGGCCGCAGTTTGTGTTTCATCTTACACAAAGCCAAAACCGCCCTTTTCCACAGAATTTGGTTTGATGTTACAGCATTGTGATCCTGACAGCACCACTTCAACCTGCAGTCCCAGGACGATATATTTATTAGTTGGGATTATCGCTGCTTAGGCGACTCTTACCCCTATAGGAATAAGGAGAATGCGCAGAGTGTGCCTAAATTTAATTATTATTAATATTGTTTTTTAATCATGAAAATTATTTGAATTAACATTTTTTTCATTTAAATATATATAACATGTTAATTTCAAACTTAAAATTGTTCAATCCTAAAATCCATCATATATAAAATTAAATTTAAATATAAGAATCAATCAAATTCAAATGGTTGTTTTTTAACTATAATCAAATTATATTATTATAAGTTACGATAAATATGAAAATTATATTTATTTAATATTTTTTTTATTCAAATAGTGTGAAGCTCTTTATTTTAAAAACACCTAAACATTCAATTTATTTATTATTAAATTTAAATGAAATACATTATATAATAAATTTAAATGTACAATATGTGTAACAAACAGGAGGAAGCATATATTTGCTACTAGCGGGTATAAGCCGGCCTTGCCCGAGACACATATAAAATAAAATCTCTCAAATATCTTTGAAAATGAGTTTGAAACCGATTCTGCCAATTTACCGCAGAAAAACTTATTCATATGTAGAGCTTTGAAAATAAGTTCGAAGCAAATCGGACAAACCTTAAAACTTCACCAATAAAATCTTGGTATTGCACTTTTTATTTAAGATGCTTTGATTCTACGAAAAATGTGAAATACGTCCCCAAAGGATTTTTCATATAGATACTTGGAAATAAATTTGAGCGCGAAACGTCACCCACCAAATCGTTTGCCCCCCCATTTCCACCAAGGAGAAATGCAATGAATCTAAGCAAAGATCTTTGTAAATGAGTTTGAGGTCGATCGAATGGTGAACAAAACCCGTCTTAACGTGCTCCTTCATAATATAAGGTAACTACAGTGAAAATTTCAGCTTCCAAGCTTTTACGCTAACGTTGATCAGTCAATAAGTCAGCCAGTCAGTCAGTTATTACAAGCACTTTTATATATGGAGAGAGTTTGAAAACAGGTTTTTTTTTTGTAAGCATATCTCGAAGATTTTACCACATTTGGCAATATGATTTGGATGCGTGCTCTACCAAGGTATATCCTTGCACCCTGATACTCAAACACATTTAAGACCCTGAAAGATCGAACTGTGGTGTATTTATAAAGTAAAGAAGAAAGTTTGAAAATTTGTGATTGCACTCTGTTGCTGGGTAAATGGTATCTGCTGGTCGGACCATCGCGACAAGAGCACCTTTTTTTTTTTTAGTTTGTGGTTGCAGGCTTTTGAGTTGGCGTGTATGATAAGGTCATCGGTAAATATTTATTTTTTTGTACGCTTTGTTTCTGCTGTTGGTTTTCTTGTGCCTCTCTTGCTGTTGGCATTTTATGGCTATTTATTTATAAAAAACTTGTTGCAGTATATTGCCCAGTTCGCTTAAGGACCACCGTTTTGATCCTTTCAAGACAACCTCTAGGGATAGTCTACTCTTACAAGTCCAAATGTATGATTTTGTCAGTAACTAACGGATTAAAATTTCTTTCATAAATCAAAGAGGCAGATGTTAAGATATATGCATGGTCTGATTCAACATCAGATTCTATTTATCGAAAGCTATATGAGCTAGAGATTTCCAGTCTGGAATGAATATTCTTCTGCAAGCACAGCTGCAGTTTAATTCATAATCCCGTTTCCCTGAAATCGAATAATATCAAACTTAAGCTCTGTTTGTTTACCATCTGGTGTCTTGTATAGTAGCCGGCCCATTTCCCAGTTTGTATGAGCGAGAAGATATTGAATGATATAAGATATTAAATATGAAATAATGGATCCCAACAGGTGTAGCCTTTATCTTAAGTAATATATTAAGACTATAGTGTATATATTAGGACTATTCGTATTAACTCATAAAAATAAGTTCAAATTTATGCGTGTTACGGCAGTTTGAGGTTGCATACTCTTTCGTCTTTTGTAACTGTCTGCAAGGATATCTCACTAAATATTTGCAGTTTCATTGCCCTTCCAAATAAATACGTGCTTATATATTAAGTATGTATAGGAAAAACTGTTAAGCTTTGACCCTAATCAATTCACCTTTCATAGCGATTTTGGTCTCTTAAGTACGTGACTCAATCAATGCCTGGCACATTTAAGCGTAACAGTCACACTTAAATTCAAAGAAGTGTGTATCAGGGGTATTCGCCTATTTAAGTAGTCAATTGACCGACAATAACATCTCTATCAGCTCGGCATAAAATGTTTCATTGTTGACATATGTGGCATACAAATTAAAATATTTTTGTGTTGCCTGCTATTACGAAATTGCATTGTAAGATGTATGCCCCAAAAGCATTACAACAACAGTAACAAAACAATGCAACCTAAGAAAAGTGTGACATATGTGCAGTCAATAAATTTTCCACTTTTCATGCTGACAACACACAAAAAAAGGAACAGGACCAAAGCGACCAACGAAACTATTGCGTCGCTAACGGCCCCACAATGACATCACACTTTTTGGAAGCTACTTAAATCTTGAGAATATTTCTATATATGTACATACATTCTTGGATACTTTGTTTATTATTTGCCTTGTAATAAATTTGATTGTATTTTTTCGCGCTTTGCGCATTTGTTTATGTCAAATTTACCAATTTACATTATTAATAAGTTACTAATCGCAAAGGGCCCAAATACACGTCAGATGCCGTGTCATGCTTTCGACTTTTATGTAGATATGTTGCGTGGGGCTCATCGAGCCAATGGGCAGAACCAAATACATTGACTTAATTAAGAGTCAGTTGCTTCAGTGCCGAAAGTTCTGTACCTTTTTGTGACACACAATTGTAAGTATATATAAAGTGACCTCTAATAAAATACAATTTCTCGCCGATAGCTAAAGTCGCATTTATTGAATGTATCGATCAGTTGGGAAATTTATAGTCGAGCATACGATGATTTTTATACACTGCACCCATTAAAAATGGGTATAAGGGTATATTGTATTTGTGCAAAGTCCAAATGTATGTAACAGGCAGAAGGAAGCATCTCCGACCCCATAAAGTTTATATATTCTTGAACAGCATTAATAGCCGAGTCGATCTAGCCATGTCCGTCTGTCTGTCCGTCAGACAGAGCTAGAGACTTGAAATTTGAGATGTAGGTGCTCATGGTGCCCGCACAGATCGAGTTTGTTTCCGATAATCGATAACTTACTCCGTGTTCAAGCAATCGATAAAAATTGATATCGATATCCTGTTTTTGGGCAATTTTAGTAAATAATAAGAGCTAGCGTCACGAAACATGATACGTTGCTTTTAAAATATTATATATTTGTCAAGTATCTTTCATTTTATACCTATCGCCACCTCTCCGCTACAACCCC